AGAATCACCGACACTTCACTCATTTGGGCAGTCACGGGGCCAAAACCAGAGTGTGGAGCCACAGTGTGGCGGTGGAGGCAGCAGCAATGGGAGGCCATACAGCACCCTATGAAAAATGGAACCCACCAGCAGTGTGAGGAGACCTGAAAGTGGCACATGGCAGAGTGTGGCGATGGAGACAACAGCAATGGGAGGCCGTACAGGGACCCATGACACACTCTGGACCTGGCAGCAGCATGAGGAGGCGGTACAGGGCCCATGACAGATTACGGGCCTGGCAGCAGCATGAGGAGTCGGTACGGGGGCCCATGGCAGATTACGGGCCTGGCAGCAGCAATGGGAGGCCCGTAATCTGCCAGAACCCGTATGACAAATGGAACCCACCAGCAGTGTGAGGAGACCTGAAAGTGGCACATGGCAGAGTGTGGCGATGGAGACAGCAGCAATGGGAGGCCGTACAGGGACCCATGACACACTCTGGACCTGGCAGCAGCATGAGGAGGCGGTACAGGGGCCCATGACAGATTACGGGCCTGGCAGCAGCATGAGGAGTCGGTACGGGGGCCCATGGGCAGATTACGGGCCTGGCAGCAGCAAGAGAAGGTGGTACAGGGGCCCATGGCAGAGTGGCGAAGCGTAAGCAGCTTAAATTGAAGGCCATACAGAGGCCTATGTTAAAAATAATAACATGTTTGGGGCATGATTCATGGGAGGATTTAGTCAGTTGTGTCAGGAACTGGTGGTTTGAAATCCAGACTAATCCACGGTAGGACCTGAGAACATCAATTTTCACAAACGTGAGTCTCTCCACACTTTGGTGAGACGACAGTCTTGTCCTCCGCGGAGTTACAATACCTCCTGCCGCACTAAACACGCGCTCCGATGCCACGCTACTGGCCGGGCATGACAGCCTTTCAAGGGCAAATTCAGCTAGTTGGGGCCAAAGGTCAAGTTTCGTTGCCCAGTAGTCAAGGGGATTGTCTACCTCGGTTGGCAGGGTGCTGTCCAAGTAGGCCTGAGTCTGTTGTTTGAGGTCCTGCTCCCAGGTCCACCTGATGCTGCTGGCTGCTGCGCGCTGGTTTAGTAGTTTCCTCACTGCGCTGGTGAAGAAAGCTACTCATCATCGACTGCAGACTGAGGCAGCCGCTGCTGGTGGAGCTGCCACTGCTCCTACCACCCCACCCCTCCCCTGCTGCCATGGCAGCGGAACGCGAGCGCACAGGGCCCACAGTGTCTGAGGATGGACGTTGGCGCACAAAGGCAGAGACCAACTGACTACATAGGTGGTTTTTATAGTACGTTATTTTGGCCTCCCTCTCAGCAGGTGTGAAAAAAGGCCACCATTTTTGAACGGGTAGCGAGGGTCCAACAAGGTGGGACAGCCAAAAGTCATCCCTCTGTCTGATGGTTATTATTCGGCTGTCGCTACGCAAGCAACCGAGCAATGCTATGGCCATTTTGTGCCAAGGAATGTGAGGGACTCCCTGCCTCCATCTCCACAGCATACTGCATGGTGCGTCTGGGTCCTCTGTCCTCCTCCTCCTCCTCCTCCTCTACCAGATGCTCCTGCTCCTCCACTCCTGTCCGCTGAGTGGAAAAACCACCCATTTCACTCAATAATTCCTGAGCACCAATGTCCTCCTCTACCTCCTCCTCTTCTTCCTGTCCTGCCCCCACAGGGGTCATGTGGCGTTGAGATCTGTGCGCCACGTCTACCGCACCCTGACCAGCCATTGTTAACAGCATTTGTTCCAGGACGTGCAACAGAGGAATGACGTCGTTCAATCCCATAGTCCTGCCGACTCACGAATAGCGTGGCCTTCCTCAAAGGGCCTGAGCAAGCGGCAGGCGTCACGCATGAGCTGCCAATGGCTGACATCTAAGTTACACAGGGGAGTACCTTTATCCGCTTGTAACATCAGGAAATCGGTGATGGCCTTTCGCTGTTCGTAAAGGCGGTCTAACATATGTAGGGTTGAATTCCACCTTGTTGCAACGTCGCAGATCAGGCGATGCTGTGGAATTCCGTTCTGCCGCTGCAGCTCAAGGAGGGTGTGCTTTGCGGTGTATGAATGTCAAAAGTTTACGTGACATTTTAAGGATGTCTTGCAGTGGGATGGTGGATTTTAGGAACCGCTTGACAACCAGATTGAACACGTGAGCCATGCATGGCGCATGGCACAACCTTCCTTGACGCAGAGCAGACACCATGTTCTTTCCGTTGTCTGTACATTACACTCAGAAGTTCCTCCCCTGTGTGACTACGTTCGCCAAGGCATACCAGGTGCAGCACAGCGTGACACCGTTGCGCCCCGCACATGTGATATGCCGGTCGGGTAATGGGACTTGGCACGGGGGGTGGCGGCTGAGGGACACGGCGGAAGAAGAAGTGGTAGAGGCGGACATCTTTGCTGGACCAAGGACGTGCAAACGTGGAGGAAAAAGCGGCGTGACCTGTCCAAGTTGATGGTGCGGCTGTGCCGGCACCACGTTCACCCCAGTGGGCCGTAAATGACATGTACTGTCCTGACCGTAGTTACAGCTCCACACGTCGGCGCTGCCGGTGCACTTTGGCAGAGACCGACATGCTCAAAGACTGGCCCACCATCTCTTCTACATGTGAATGCAGGCTGGCACTGCCTTTTTGGGAAGAAATGCCGGCTTGGCACTCTCCACCGCGGCTCGGCACAAGCCATCATTTCTCGGAAAGGTGCTGAGTCCACCACTTGGAAAGGGAGGGACTGCAGCACCAGCAACTTGGACAGGAGGACGTTCAGCTTCTGCACCGTCGGGTGCGTGCTCGCAAACTGTTGTCTCTTGGAAACGGATTCCAAGAAAGACTGCTGACGGAATCCGTGAAGAGAAGTAGCAGGAGAAGGAGCATCTGAACGAGCGGAAGATTGCCAACGAGCGACAACTCCCCTCAGCAGAGGTGTCGGAGCCTTGACTGGCTGATAGAGGGCGATTGACGTCGGGTGACGGAGCAAGTAACGGAGCGGGTGATGGAGCGGGGGCTGGGGCAGGCAGAGAACCGCCGTATCTTTATCACGGTTTTCCAGGCCACCGAATGGCGACGCTGCATATGCTGACGCAACGCTGTAGTCCCAACATGGGCCCCCTGGGCCACGCTTGACTTTCTGGCCACATAGTCGACATACGGCTACGTTTACTTCCTCGGGCGGCTGACGAAAAATTGCCACACCGCCGAGTAGGAAACTTTGCCCCCGCTACTCCTCACTGGCTGACTGCTACTTCCTCCGTGCACACCGGCACCACTACTGGCCGTGGTGGTAGGCTGCAGTGGAGCTGGTGCTCTTCTCCGTGGCCGTTTGCCTCCACTGACACTGCTGCGACCCTGCTGCCTCCTGGGCAACCCACCGACTGTTTTGCTGCTCGCTGCCAAGCTGCACCCTCTTCTCCTGATGATGCGGAAGCAATAGCCTGATGACGACGAGGCTGCCAAGTGCGATCAGCCTCATCATCATCAATTAGGGTCTCCGCCTCACTACTAGCCCCCTCGGTGCGCGTGTGGGTCAGGAGACAGACCTGTCTCTAGACCGGCTACCGAGCCACTCTCCTCGCCAGTACTTCTTCGCCTGGCTGCTGAAGAGGCGGATGTCTCCCCCCGTTCCTGACCGCCCTCTGTTAGCTCTTCCTCACTGTACAGTGGGGCTGAGCCCACAGCATGCGATACTTCGCTTGGTGAGGGAACACCAAAGGACAGGGGCAGGTAGAGGACACGTGATTTCAGTGGGCTTGCTCCCGGGCCATGCCAACTAACGGTGTGTGTCTGACGTACCCATCACCGACCGTTGGCTGTAGGTGTCAGAGGTGACCTGGGAAGAGGAAGACGACCGAGCCAACCAATCGATGACGGCAGGGTTGTCGGTGGAGACACGACCGCTGGATGACACCGGGAGCACTGGCCTCTGGCTGCGACTAGTGCTGCCTCGACCCCTTCCTCTGCTGCCACGTCTGCTCGCTCCTGAAACATTGCCTCCTCTGCGTGTTGTCTGACATACTCTTTAATTCAACGATTCTGTGTCCCTGAGTAACGATTATGTCCCTGAGTAAAAAAAACGATTCTGTGTCCCTGAGTAACGATTCTGTGTCCCTGAGTAACGATTCTGTGTCCCTGAGTAACGATTCTGTGTCCCTCAGTAACGATTCTGTGTCCCTGAGTAACGATTCTGGTGTCCCTGAGTAACGATTCTGTGTCCCTCAGTAACGATTCTGTGTCCCTGAGTAACGATTCTGTGTCCCTGAGTAACGATTCTGTGTCCCTCAGTAACGATTCTGTGTCCCTCAGTAACGATTCTGTGTCCCTGAGTAACGATTCTGTGTCCCTCAGTAACGATTCTGTGTCCCTGAGTAACGATTCTGTGTCCCTGAGTAACGATTCTGTGTCCCTGAGTAACGATTCTGTGTCCCTCAGTAACGATTCTGTGTCCCTGAGTAACGATTCTGTGTCCCTGAGTAACGATTTCTGTGTCCCTTAGTAACGATTCTGTGTCCCTGAGTAAGATTCTGTGTCCCTGAGTAACGATTCTGTGTCCCTGAGTAACGATTCTGTGTCCCTCAGTAACGATTCTGTGTCCCTGAGTAACGATTCTGTGTCCCTGAGTAACGATTCTGTGTCCCTCAGTAACGATTCTGTGTCCCTGAGTAACGATTCTGTGTCCCTCTGAGTAACGATTCTGTGTCCCTCAGTAACAATTCTGTGTCCCTGAGTAACGATTCTGTGTCCCTCAGTAACGATTCTGTGTCCCTCAGTAACGATTCTGTGTCCCTGAGTAACAATTCTGTGTCCCTGAGTAACGATTCTGTGTCCCTCAGTAACATTCTGTGTCCCTGAGTAACAATTCTGTGTCCCTGAGTAACGATTCTGTCTGTCCCTGAGTAACAATTCTGTGTCCCTGAGTAACGATTTTGTGTCCCTGAGTAACGATTCTGTGTCCCTGAGTAACAATTCTGTGTCCCTGTGATAACGATTCTGTGTCCCTCAGTAACGATTCTGTGTCCCTGAGTAACGATTCTGTGTCCCTGAGTAACGATTCTGTGGTCTGTCCCTCAGTAACGAATTCTGTGTCCCTGAGTAACAATTCTGTGTCCCTGAGTAACGATTCTGTGTCCCTCAGTAACAATTCTGTGTCCCTGAGTAACAATTCTGTGTCCCTGAGTAACGATTCTGTGTCCCTGAGTAACAATTCTGTGTCCCTGAGTAACGATTCTGTGTCCCTAAGTAACGATTCTGTGTCCCTAAGTAACGATTCTGTGGCCCTAGTAAGATTCTGTGTCCCTGAGTAACTTCTGTCCCCCTCAGAGGTATCTGTTCTCTTGAATGACCGGAGGCTAATGGAGAATTCTAAGATGGCCGCGATTCTGTGTAGCTCCACCATTACACAGTGCTGGCTGGCTGGCTGCTGATTGGCTAATGCGATCACATGTCATGAATGAATGCATTATGGGTCAGCGCGCCTTGTCTGCGCCTTCCCAGAGATCCCGCTCCGTCGCCACACATTCTGCCGCCCCTTTTTGGGTTCGATTCGTGCATCCGAAGTTTGCTAATTTCGGATTCCCTGCGTAACGAATATTTTCCTAATCTTCGAAACGAATTCCACTTGTCCCTGAGTAACGATTCGTGTCTCTATAAATCCCTGAAAGCTGACAGTTTAAGTCATCTTGTTCATGATTAAATCCATTGTGGTGGTGTATAGAGCCAAAAATTTAGAATTGTGTCCCTGAGTCCCAATATTCTGTGGACCTGACTGTATTTGTAAAAAATGTTGAAAAACCATTTATCATTTTCCTTCCACTTCACAATTATGTGCCACTTTGTGTTGGTCTATCACATAAAATCCCAATAAAATAACATTTACGTTTTTGATTGTAACATGGCAAAAAAGTGGAAAATTGCAAGGGTATGAATAATTTTTCATGGCACTGTACCTCTGAGTTTTTCTGGTTTTTTTTTTAAGTCCCTGCAAACGTGCAACTATAACGTAAAAACCCGTAAGTGTCCGCAAAAAAGTGCAAGTGCAAGAACACACACAAAAAAACTGCACTTAGGGGTGTGTTTGTCCTACCCCCGAAAGGGTTGGACCGTTCACCCGATCCCCCGGGGCACGAAGCTCCTGACAGGGACAAGGTTCCCATTTGGTCCTCCTGGCCAAAAGGCTGGTGGACCACCGTTACTTAGTGCCCAGCCAAAGCCGGACATCCAGTACTAGGCAAGGGGGTTCTCCCGAAGAGAAAACCCCCTAGGGATCAGGGGAGGAAGGAACCGTATGCCACACATCCTCCCCCTAGACTTCAGGTAAGGCCCGAGGACCCACACCCTCCATCCGTGAAAAACACACACATAAGAACAGAAAAAGTGACAAAACGTGGGATGGTTTAAATAAATAGAATAAAATAAAAAAGTGGTACCGTGCCTAATAGTGCACAGACCAGGCCCTGAGGCTGTAGCAAAAATTGCCCTGGACTTAGCCAAAAGACCTGGTCCTTAGGGCGCTGTGCAAAAAAGAAGTGAAAAACAGTGGCCATGTGTCATCTTCACACCGTGTGGTCCACACCCAAGTGTTACTAGTGACACCCCTGAGAGCGTCTTCCCCAGGGGGCACTGAGTTTGCGGACTTTTTGCGTCCCCAGCCCCAGCCAGACCAAGGTAGCACGTTCAGATCAGGAGGTACTGGGTCTTTCCGGTCTCCCAGAGGAATTACTCCCAAAATGCCCCAGAACGAATCATGGCGCTCCCTGGTTTCTGTCCCTCCGGTACTAGCCTTCCGGACCCCATCATACCAGTTGAGGGTACTATACAACAACCATCCCCGTAAAATAGAATGGTCGGAGCACCCCCACTGGACACTGATAAGAAAATACTACACTTGATCTTAGCCAAAAGGCCGAGAAGCCTCTGAGTTTTTCTGGTACTGCAATTACAGTATATCTGACACTTAAGACAAATCATTATGTTGTTGAGCAATCATAATCACCCTTGACACAATCCATGATGAGTAGATTAGGGTGACTGAGTTATTTATGCAGTTAGAATTTCTGGGGTATGTTTGTGATACTTACTTGAGTTCAGATATGCAGCTAAAAGTCTTCAATATTTCCGAACAAGTCTAGTTGACTACTAGGTGCACCCATATAACATACGTTATCCATTAGGTGCCTTAATGCATTTTGCATGAGAGTGCTGCCTCCTAGTTCTACTCACATAGTTCCACTCATTCGTTATGGAGGTGCCGCTCTACCTGCTGATTTTACCAATGTTTTAAATAGCATCCAATAAAGCAGCAGAGATAGGAAGCAATGAGAGAGAGAGGTGCTGTTTAATAAAAAAACATTATTAGATAAACTTTACTATAAAGTCTCTTCTCTGATAGTATTCTGTTAACATTATGACAAGTTTGCCATCAAGGGTTTGTTTTGCTGTCACAAATAAAAAAGCATTTAATGTCAAAACATATAGGTAATTGTTGATAAAGGTTACCACGCTTACATTGCGTGCTCACTATTAAATGGCTGTTACATGATTCTTGAGTTTTAAAAAGCACAGGTCGGTCAGATAAAAACCATTTATAAAAAGCTTTTACAGGGATTCTAGCTGCTATTAGTTAAGTATCAGTATAGAATGCACTTTTAAAGTTGACTATATTTTCAAGGCCAGCACTTTGGAACAAATTTGATGTTGTAATGGCAAGAGAGAAAAATCATTAACATTGTAAACAGTATTGACTGGTAGTCATTTTCCCTTATACTCTTACAAACTCATGAAATTACCAGTGTGTGTGTTGGGCTTTATCTATGTATGGGTTGATGGTCTATGAGCATGCATACCAGCCATTTCCCTTTGCCCCAGGCTCTGTGCTAACAAAGGTAAGTTTTTTACTATTTCCATAAATCACTATGTAGCTGTATATGCAGAAAATGCTGGGTCCCCTGTGTTTCTAGGCCCCTTAGTAATCACATGGTCTGCTATAGCTCCAGTTAATCTCTTAATAAGTAGTATTAGTTGGATTCCATTTATGAGGTCAAATATAAATGAGAAAACCTCAACACTGCTGTCTCTCTATTTAATATTTCAGGTGTCCCAATTTGATTCCCATACCGATTAACTGTTTGGTTAGTTAGGTCCAAGGCAGCTAAAAATTCTACATTGCCTACTTTATACATATATGCCTGCCTTCAGAAAGGTATCAGATAATAAAAATCCTTTGAAAAGCAATAAGTTGCAGCAGCAAACAAAGTAAATCATTATTATTATTATTATTATTAATATACAGGATCTATATGGCGCCAACAGTTTGCGCAGCACTTTACAATATAAAGGGAGACAGTACAGTTACAATACAATCAAAAAAACAAGAGAATTAAGAGGGCCCTGTTCATAAGAGCTCACAATATAATAGGGTGGGGTAAGTGGTACAAAAGGTTATAACTGTGGGGGATGAGCTGATGGAAGTGATAAATGTTTATTGCAGGTGTGATAGGCTTCCCTGATGAGATGAGTTTTCAGGGATCGCCTAAAGGCAGCCAGGGTAAGGGTTAGCCAGACAGATTGAGGTAGAGAGTTCCAGAGATGGGAGAGGCTCTAGCAAAGTCCTGGAAAAGAGCATAGGAGGAGGAGAAGGGAGCTTGAGAGCAGGAGAGGAGGAGAGAGGGCGGTTTGGGTAATATTTAGAGATAAGTTTGGTGATGTAGCTGGGAGCAGAGTTGTGAATAGCTTTGTATGCTGTTGTTAGCATTTTGAATTTAATTCGCTGGGCAATTGGAAGCCAGTGGAGAGATTAACAGAGAGGGGGCAATGGACACTTAGTAAGGTAGATAAGTCTGGTAGCAGCATTCATAATAGGACTGAAGAGGGGATAGCCTACGGATAGGTATGCTTTTGAAAAAGGATCTGCAATAGTCAAGGCAAGTGATAACAAGGGAGTGGAAGAATAGCTTGGTGGTTTCATTTGTTAAATAGGGGCAAATTTTTAAAGATGTTATGGAGGTGAAGTCTACAAGCTTTTGACAGCGATTGGATTTGGGGCTGAAAGTATAGGTCAGAGTCCAGGATTAAACCTAGTACCCTGGCTTGAGGGGAGGGACTGATAGTTGCATTATTGATCTTGATGGAAGCATCATGATGGAGAAGGACACGAGAGGGGGGAGAATATTATCAGCTCGGTTTTAGAGTTGAGACCAATAAGACCAATGCATTGATTGGAAGAGTAATGTCTAAGCTATTGTTTTTTTCTCTGTTCATAAAACACAACAGGAAGTGGGAGGTAATACAATCAGTAACAAAAACCTGACAGGATTCATCTTTACGCTAGAGTAAGGTTTCCCTACTCTATCTAAAAAAATATATTTGTAGGAGGGAGCACCTCTAGCATCCAGTTGTTGAGCGAGCTCCTGGATCTAAAGGGGACCTATGTGAATTACACTTTTTCATGAACAGCGAGTGGAAACCCTAAATCTGTCCCTCCTCTACTTCCCGGCTTCCACTTCTCAGGCAATTGGCCTAGATCACATTGCTCATATCTTGTCACCACAGAGGTCTTTTATGACACTATAGGTACAGGTAAGATTCTCATATTATGGCTGGTGCACTGAGCAATGATGTTTTTAAGAGCTTTTGATAATGGGTACTTCTCAGATCTTTTGTCACAGCTAATAAAATATCTGTATGTATGGTCAAGTGCCTTTTCCACATTAAGTGTCAATTTACCAGCATCAGACAACTGGCATACTAGTGAACAATAACACAGTCTATTGTCAGCTTTTGCTCTATTGCTAATGGGAAGTTAAACTTTTCTAATATTACTGTATTACCAGGTGCACACACAAAACACATTCATATTTACTGGTAAGGTGTACAGAACAGTAAACTGGACTTTCAGCATCAGTGTGACCAATACCCCATCTTTTTTTGGCTTAGTTGTGCTATGTCTGACCTGCAGGATGTTAACTTCAACTGTACACATGGTTCTGAATTATCTGTTGTAAGTTGGCTTCAAGATGAATTTACGGCAACATTGTCTTTAGGTGTGAAAAATCTGTTCACACATATATGTGAATCTAATCAATGCAGAGACAGAGGCCACCTTTGTGAAGCATACGAATGTGTCTAGTAACTCACTATGCTGCAGACCAATTATTATTATTATCCAGGATTTGTATAGCACCAGCAGTTTGTGCAGTGTTTTACAATGTGAGGGCAAACAGTAAAGTTACAATAGAATTGGATACAGGAGGAATCAGAGGGCTCTGGTTGTTAGAGCTTGCAATCTAAAAGGGGAGGTTCAAGTGATGCAAAAGGTAATAACTGTAGGGGATGAGCCGATGGAGAAAACACATGTACAGTTTTTAGGTGGAGGCAGGATAGGCTTCTCTGAAAAGAAACGTTTTCAGGGATCACCTAAAAAAGGACAGAGTAGGAGATATTTGGATAGATTGGGGTAGAGAATTTCATAGGATGGGAGAGGATCAGGAGAAGTCCTGTAGGTGAGCATGGGAGGAGGGGATAAGGGAACTAGAGAGCAAGAAGTCTTGGGACGAATGAAGAGAGCGATTTGGTTGGTATTTTGAGACTAGGTTAATGATGTAGCTGGAGGCCGAGTTGTGGATGGCTTTGTAAGTTGTTGTTAGTATTTTGAATTTAATTCATTGGGTGAGTGGCAGCCAATGGAGAGAATGGCAGAGAGGGGTAGCAGGCACTGAACGGTTGGTAAGGTGGGTGAGTCTGGCAGCAGCATTCATGATGGACTGGAGG